TCTCCTGATGTAACTAGGGACCGCCATGGGGACAGCGTGGCTCCAGGTGACTCTGCTTCCCACGTCGGTGTTGAATCACCCCCTCGATCAATTGCCCCCGAGATCCCGGAGCAGAATCCAGCCGATGTACCATTCCCCTTCAAGTTCAAGGCACCTTCAGGCCGAGTGCATCGCTTGCAGGTAGTAGCAGCTCAGGGAATGGGGGCCTTCGTATCTGCAGTCGCGGCTAAGCTTGGTGCCGAGGTTGATGCCATTGGTGGTGTGCCAGTTGTGGAAGACGGCAAGATGAGCGGTACTGGATTTGCTCTCAGCTACATGGATAATGAGGGTGACACTGTTTCCATCACTACCGACAATGACTTGCTCGAGGCCATCATTCTCGCTCGTCAAAGCCGGCATGACAAGGTTGACCTCTACGCTCATGATCCCGAGAAACCACCCGTAGCACTACCCGCTCCCGTTGAGACACCTGTCATTCCCACGCCGCCAACCTCTACTGCCCCTGGTCTCCGTGAGCGCCGAAGACCTTACGATGATGACGAAGACGAAGACGAGGACGAGGATGAGGATGATGGCGCACCAGTCCGACGCTCACGGCGGACGAGAAGCGCTCCTGTTCAGGAACAGCTTATTGCAGGCGTGCCAAATGATCTTCTGCTTCCTGGTGCTATTGTGACACTGGCTGTAGTTATTGTTGGGGTCTTTACCATTGCAAGAGCCACCAGCAGATAAGACGAGCTGTAGTAGCTTCTTGTACCACTAACGAAGTTACGAAGTCGACAGTGCGCGACTGTAAATATGTATAGCAAGTTTATTTTGTACTTAATAGAGGGATCCTTTCTAGCAATTCTTAGCTGTTAATTATATTGAGCCGCCATTGCTGCCACCACTTGATCGTGTGAAGGCAGTATGTCATTTGCATTTGTAGGTGCCCAGAACAATAAAGTGGAACCCAGGCTACTTAACAGTAAAAGGCGAAATGGGTGATGGAACACCTAGCAAGGGCAGAAAAAGGAGTCATTTGGCAGCGAACGCCTACGCCTGTATCTCGTCTTCTATTTCCTTGAGCCGGAATTGTTGTCATTTACGTGTAGTCGTCTTCTTTCTCATCTCTCTTTATTGTTCCTGCTATCGTCAAAGATATCTTCCAAACATCTTGCCTCTAGTTTGTAGTAGTTTCCCTGTTCTTAGTAATTTGTTTGAAACGCTTCCCTCTACAACGGCAGCGCTGATAGACCTGGGTTCAAAGGCCGACTTCAGCGGCCTTTTAAGCCTTTTTTGGGTATTCGTAGTGCTGGTTTTCCTCTTGTAGGCTTTCGAAATGAAGCCGCTCGCGTCTTCTTATAGAACTGATTGCAGACTCTGTCGAGGTCTTGGGTGGTTGTCAAGGGCAGATCTCTAGAGGTCTTACTAAGCGGGAATAAAACCCTGTCGTCTGGAAGGACGAGAGAGCCTGATGCTTGATATGTCAGAACTTTGGAACCATACTTGTCAAGATCTCAGTTTCTTTTTTCAATGGCCTTCACCGTTCGGCCCAACTAGTCTGGAGTTGCCACAGCTGAAGTCGGGACACCAAGAAAGACGGCAAGCCTGGAACAGTTTCCCACTTCTCTTCGCATTAGAAGCAAGAAGTATGAGTCGTTCATTTGCTGAGAGACGGCGATCACTGCCTCGGTGAAGACTCCGTTGAGGTCTGGCCGGGCTGTGCTCTCGAATTCAGCTGTAATGTCTAAGATGCCGTAGACCCTGTCTCTCGCCTCGGTGGCTTGCTTGCCCTAATTATCTGCGCGATCTCGACGAAGTCGCTCTCCTTCCCTCGTGGCAATTTCGCTCGAGCATCTGTTCGTTGGGTCAAGGACATTGGTGTGTGGGTGTATAGATAGGCCTATCTGGAGTCAAAACATCCAGACCAAGTCGCTTCAATTCCGTGATTTGAGCCGCACGGGCTTTAAAGGTTACCTGTGCGAAGCGCTCGTCCTCATCATGCTGATTGATGCAAGCTGCATGGGTCCAATACACCTACGGCGAAGTCTACCGAGCACATTCATAGTCGAGGATTAAATGTCGTGCTTGATAGACTCGTGAGCAGATACGGCAAGACGCCGGATTGGCGGGCGGGCGATTGGAGCTTCTTGTTGAAGTACCACATAGAAAAATAGATTTCGCACTGTCTGGAGCATGTCCTAGGTAGTTGTCTAAACAATTTTTCCTTAACTGTACAGCTAAATATGGCAGTAAAGGAAACGGTTGGCAAAATGGTATAAGCCAGTATGGGCTCTTCAAATGTTTACTGCCAACGTAGTAACTACTTTGAAGGAACAACGGGCCGGCAGTGGTTCAAGCCACAAAAGGCCAAAAAAAGGGTCCTGCTGTACCTCGTAGTCCGCTACATTGTGCATCCGGCCGGAAAATTTAGTCTCCGGCCTCCAACAGCTGTCCCCCTGTCGTGTGGTCAACTTTTTGGTGACTTCAATTTTGGCGATGGGGAGATTCGCTCCGTACCCAAGCATTTTGAATCGGGCAAACGACCCGTCGCATTACGCCGTCATGATACTCAGAAATGCCGCTGTACGGCATGGTGAGTCGGTCAAGATTATAATACGGTCTCGCAACTGCTTACATAGCTCGACAGGCCGTGCATTGACGCCTCCGATCTCGAGATCTGCCCTGCGACTGCTATCCACCGATGCGCATAGCCAGAACATGGTCAATCCGAGCTCCAATGCATCTGTCCAGGCCTGGCCCACGGGCCAATCCTCACCTGCCCAGCCGAAAATCCTGTCAGGATCATCATCCAAGAAGAGGAAGCAGAAGACTGTGCAAGAGTTCATCATGAGCCTCGGATCTGATTCCGCCCAGGAACACTCGGGAGCTTCTTGGACAAAACCGCACCAGATTGGAAGCAAGGGGCAAGAAGTGACTCCAGCGCAGCAGTTTGCAGAGTTTCAAAGAATTCAGAAGAATACAAGAAGCCTCGGCTCTCATGTGGAGAGACGTTACGTGCCGACTGAATTAATTAGCAACCCTCCCGGCCCAGAGGATGTTTCGTTGGAGCTCCTGATGGCTTCACAGGCGCACATGGGACATAATACCTCTCTCTGGAACCCTGCCAATTCTCGATACATTTACGGCGTCCGACAGGGAATTCACATCATCTCGCTCGAGACGATTGCTGCGCATCTTCGACGAGCGGCACGAGTCGTTGAAGAGGTTTCATACCGGGGCGGTGTTATCCTCTTTGTTGGCACTCGAAAGGGCCAGATGGAAATTGTCACCAAGGCCGCTGAACTGGCTGGTGCATGTCATTTGTTCACCAAGTGGACGCCTGGAGCTATTACAAACCGAGATGTTATCCTCAAAACTCAGCCTACAAAGGTTGTCGATCATTTGGACTCCGAGTTGGATGGTTTTGACATGTACAAGGGCATGGCCAGACCGCTGCTGCCTGACTTGGTAGTTTGCCTGAATCCCTTGGAAAACTACACCATGTTATACGAGTGTGGTCTGAAGAACATTCCTACAATTGGTGTCATTGATACAAACGTCGACCCGTCCTGGGTTACCTACACTATCCCTGCCAATGACGACAGGTATGTGTCACAGGTACTGCTGCTTGGTATTGAATTTGGCTAATTGATTGGATTCTAGTTTACGAGCAATGGCAGTTGTTGCCGGAGTGCTGGGCCGAGCTGGTCAGAAAGGCAAGGAGCGTCGCCTCCAGGACTCTTCCCGGGGCAACGTTTCATGGAAAACGTCACCAGAGTTGGAAAGACACGTGAAGAAAGAAGTCCAGGTGGCGGTGACTAAACGCAAGGAAGTGATGGGCCGAATACAGTCCAACGTCCAGGGATTTACCGAAGAGGAACAGAAACTTTTGCGAATCCGGAACAACGAGGTGGACCTTGAGGTGAGCGAGGACGAAATGGTCAACATCTTAGGCGAGACTGCACTGAAAGACGCCAGAGAAGCTGTCGTCGAAGCAGGCCATGTTCATTCTTCGAAGACGTCAAGTGAGAAAGTAGGGGAGGGCCTTGCAGATATCGAGGCGCAACTGCAACAAGTGCAGCAACAGACGAGACATATCGAATTGGAAGTCGGAAGCAAGCCAGAGTGAGCGAGCTGGTGTAAATTATGTAAAAATATTGGAGATGTGTACCATATGGATCCGAGAATACCTAGTAGACAGAGCAATGTATTATCATGGTGAAAGCGCTTTGATGCACGTATGGGAAGCCTTGCAATTACGGCACGGAGTGAACTCTGTATAGTATTATCGTCATATTATAGTCGAATACCTAGCACAGCCAAACTCTATTTGAGGCTGATGAGTTTCCAGTGTCTGGTGACAGCTGGGCAGCGGCATGTCGGCTCGGATTAACCGGTAGCCGCAGCCATGATGACCAAGACAGCGGCACAAAGTAGCCAGTGGGCATGCGCAGATGCAGGCACACACACACTTGTGCAGGCGGGCTGTAAACTTCGCCCTGCGCATTTCCCCTCACCAGGCAGTCGACCTCACGACGAACATTTCAGCACAGCGCCAGGCGAGACGGACCCTGCTGTTCCACACAATACGACCACGGCGAGACGTCAGGCCTTGAAGCTAGACGCGCCAGTGAGTGCGCAAGGAAGCGTACCCTAGAGCGTTTGCGCGGGCGTGGCATCGGCCGGTTTTTTTTTTTTTTTTTTTTTTTGCCTGCACCCGCGTCATTGCACCAAACACGAGGGCATTTTGGCTGTTTGCCTGCGCTGGCACCCGCAAAAAGACCCCAGGGTGCCAGTTGCCAACCGAGGTTCCCGTGCGTCTAGATTATAACTGGCAACAGCAGCCTTGGCTAGAGAGGCAAGCAATGCCGGCAAAGCCTGCATGACCTGAAATAGATCGACATTGATTACTTGAGTACTGGGTACGGAGTCCTTGGCAACTGGCCACCGAAGCCCTTTGTGCCATAAAAAAAAGAAAAAAAAAAGGAAAAAAAGAAAAAAGAATGCCGGCCGTCATGGACGATCCGACCGGCCCCACCATCTACCGGGTCTCCGGCCAGCCTCCGTTCCCGGACCCGAACTGCCCCGGGCTGCCCCCCGACATTGTTCCCCGCCAAGTGACATTGCGGGATCGCCAGACCGTTGCGACTATTGTGCCCTTTGTCTCGCGGCACCAGCTTCCCGCTTCCCTGCTGATGTATCTGTGCGACCAGCTGAACCGCGAGATAGAGGGAGGCGATACGTATCCCATGACGGAAGCCTTTACCGTGGACGGCTTCGCAGACTACTGGTTCCAGACCTTTGCCGCCGTCATGCTTATGGGCAATATTGACTGTGCGCAGGATGTCCTGGACGGCAAGGACTGGGCCAAGGAGTGTCTCGGAAGCTTCTTCATCAAGCCCAATTATCCTGGTCGCAGCAGCCATATCTGCAACGCCAGCTTCATCACCACCGACGCATCGCGTAACCGTGGCGTGGGACGACTCATGGGTGAGGCGTACATTGACTGGGCCCCGAGACTTGGCTACACGTACAGCGTCTTCAATCTCGTCTACGAAACCAACGTCGCCTCGTGCCGTATCTGGGACGCCCTTGGCTTCAAACGCATCGGCCGCATAAAAGCCTGCGGCAACCTGCGAAGCCATCCAGACCGGCTCATTGACGCCATCATATACGGCCGGGACCTGGCTCCGGGAGAGAGCGAGGAACTCGTCAGCGAAGAGCGCTTCGACAAGATACGGTTCTACCTCAAGTACGGCAAATACCCCAACGGGGCCGACCGCGCCGAAAAGAGCAGGCTGCGCAGCGCGGCAACCCATTACAAGCTCCTCGACGGCGACAAGCTCATGCTCAAGGACAAGGAAGTCATTTCCGACCCGGGACGGCAGTATGAGATTGCCAGAAACGTCCACGCCATCCACCACGGAGGAATCAACAAGACCACCGCCACCATTGCAGAGAAGTTCCACTGGAGCCGCATCAAGGAGACGGTCAGCGACGTCATTCGCGCCTGCGGCGAGTGCAAGGAGCTGGGCAAGACGCCGAATCCGGGCGGCAACAGGAGGAACGGGAGCGCCGGCACGCCCACCAGCTCGGCAACACCATCCGGCGGCCTCGGCGGCAACGACGCCCAGCGCCGCCAGGCGCAGTCGCCCGTGCCGCAACAAGACGGCGACGTCGACGCAGCAGAGCCGCGCCGGCCTCGTGGACTCGCTGTCCCGGCCCGACCCGGCGTCGACCCAGGGCCCGTACGCCAACCCCAGCGACATATCCGTCCTCGCGCCGGCACACCAAGACGACCACATGCTGCATCACGATGCTCACTCCCACGCCGGGCGACACCCCGCCCCTCACGGGCATCACCATCACCACAATCCCATGCTCCAGGACCGGCCTGCCTCCCACGAGGCGTACCAGCCCATCGACCCCCAAATCATCAACCACCACGGCCATCAGCATGGCTCGTCGGCGCATGACGACATGCCCTTTGATCAGTACCATCCCCACGCCGACTTTCAGGCTCTCCTGAACGCGACCGAGGACGTGGGCCCGGAGCAGGATTCCGACGCGGCGGCCGCAGAAGCTGCTGCCGCTGCAGCGGTCGACAGAGATCTAGAAATGTTGATCGAGCACGAAGATGTGGACTGTAATGAGGGCGCCATGGACTGTCTAGATGAAGCGAGGAGGGCGGAGCATCGCGACAGGCTGTATGATGTTGGGTTTGACGCGGGCTAGGGGCCCGATGATGTAGCCATCGTTTGTGCTTTTAATTCTTTCCACAGCGGTATATTTGTACATGTAGCGTTTCATCACGACTTGTCACTAGGCGCCAATTGCAACATCATGGAAATCACGCATCCAAGAGACACAAGCACGTCAAGTTAGACAGGTGACGATGACAACAGGTCTAGTATAGAAGTCGTCTTCTAGGTATCATACAGACCCTCAACACCCCATAGTTTCATTTCCCTATATACCCTTTCCTAGTTTTCTGCAGCCCACATCTACCTGTGCCCTACAATTTTTCTCATTTTGTTTCGCCTTCCCCATTTTCACCGTGCTCATCGGCGGGGCATTCCGCGGCCACGACCACGGACTGCCCGCTGAGCAGCACCCGGCGGCAACTGACCGGGGGCTTGGGGCTTTGCACTCTCCTCGTTTCGAATGGTCTCGTCTACTCCCAGGATCAAGCAACTGGCTTCAGTGGCGGCCTGCAGAGCGTTGATCTTGACCAGGGCCGGTTCCCAGACAAACCGCTCCATCATGTCGGCTACACCTTCATTCTTGAAGTCCACTCCTGCCCAAGTACTGCCCTTGCGGTGCTCCACGCGCAGCTTGTTGAGGATATCGGTAGCGTCGAAGCCGGCATTATCGCATAGCTGTCGCGGGATGATCTCGAGGGCCTTGGCGAATGACTTGATGATGGCTTGTTGCTTGTGGGAAATGTTCTTGTCAGCAAAACGGTGTAGGTAGGCTGAAATTTCCATTTCGACAGCACCGCCACCACCAACCACCATGTGGCTCTTGATGGCTCTCTTGACAATCATGATGGCGTCGTGCAGGGATCGCTCAACCTCGGCAATAAACTGCTCTGCACCTCCACGCAGCACCAGGGTGCAGGTCTTGGCTTCAGGGCACTCCTCAAAGAAGTTAAATCGCTCGCCGCCGATCTGGCGCTCCTCGAAGCTACCACAAGTGCCCAAGTGCTCGGGCAGGATGTCAGAGCACGTTGACTGGATAACAGCGCCGGTAGCCTGAACTACACGCTCCATATCTTCTGAAGAGACACGGCCGGCGCAGAAGATGTCTCTGTCCGCAAAGTATTGGGTGGCCAAATCGCCAATAGGCAGCTTGCTCAGAACAACCTTGGCACCAGTCTTGTAGATGGCCTCCAGCTTCTTGTAGATGATCTGCCACTCAGCGTCGACAATGGCTTGGTACTCTGACACCTGCTCCACACGAACCTCGGCGTTGTCCTTCTCCGCCTTGAGTTCCAGCTCGACATTCAAGCACACAATCTTGGGCTTCTTGAATGATTTGGGTTGTTGCTCAAAACCGGCATACGAAAAGGTCTTCTTGAAAGCCACACCGTTGACGAATCGCGAGTCGGTCAGGGAGCCACCGGGAATTTTCTTGATTCCAATCAACTTCTCGTTGAGATCGTCTTGGTCGAGGGATAATACGGCATCAACAACCACTAAATTGCGACCCCAGGTTAGCAGTTGCCACTTTGGTTTAGGGGTAGGTAAAAGTGACAATTTTCTTACTCTCAGTGAAGAACTCTGTGTTTTGCTTGATTAACTTGCTGGTCATGGCAGTAGCGGCCAACTTCTTCAGCGTGTCGCGACGATTACCCTCGTTGGTGCTAATAGCAATCTCCTTGATCTTATTAACAGCCAACTGTGATGCTCTTCGCAAACCCTTGATGATGATCTGAGAGCTGACACCCTGCTCGACATGGTCCTTGACCTCCTTCAAGATCTCTCCCGCAAGAACAACGACGGAGGTTGTTCCGTCGCCAACTTCGGCGTCTTGTGATCGAGCGATGTCGACGAGGATCCGGGCAGCGGGGTGGACAATATCGAGGAGCTTTGCGGAACTGTTAGCATATGGGCTTTTCCTGCCAAGCCGACTGTGGTATATAACAAGATGTGTCAAACGTATTGGAGTAGCATCGAACCTTCATGACGGTGGCGCCATCGTTGGTGATGGTCTGCTTGCCATTCTCATCAACCATCAACAGGTCCCCGCCGTAGGGACCTAGGGTCGATTTGATGGTGGTCTGAACAGCGAGACAAGCATTGATGTTGGACACAATTTGGCCCTTGCCCTGGGAAGTATCGGTACCTATTCTCGGAAGAGTGCAATTAGCCGAAGGGAGTCCTGACGACGGTACGGTAGGCGCGTGAAGCCTCCATGCGGCGAGACGAGACTCCGAGGCGACGAGGGGTGGTGATGGCGGTGGGGCAGCTCTCACCTTCCTTGAGGACGATGATGGTGGGAGTTTGGCCTCCAAACGACATTGTGGCGGTGGTCGTGAGATTACCGGTCGCCTTGGAGCTCGACAGCGGAATCTGCGCGCGTTTTTGGTGCTGGTCGAGTCCCACGAAGTGCGATGACGGTCGTCAGTGGGATGTGGATGCACAGAATGCCTACCTTTGGAGCTCCGGCCAAAAAATTGTTGCCTCCTGCGAGGTGTTGGCGGCCAGTGCGGGGACACTGTGCAACACGCACTGTACGTAGAATAGTTGACCAGGTCCTTTGGGATTTTGATAGAGAGCTTGAAGCACCTTGTCCTGCTTGATGATTTTACATTCTGACTCTGCATTCTACGAGAGTCAATGTAAAATGCGTATGTCCGAAGACATAGTAGCCACCAGATGAAATGAACTAGCCATGATTTTATTGGAGTCTAGTGCGCGGCTTGAGTTCTCTCAAGGGGGGTCTTGGGGATGAATGTAGCCCCATTGGATTAGCTCTCCTATGAGAGCGAATGAGAGCGAATGAGAGCGAATGTAGTTTTAAGTGTAATACGGATCAAATATGGAAACGTGATCCCCGTGTGCACATGATTTGCAGCTTATGCCAAGGACACAAAGCCACTCAACGTATCTCATATGTGTGGAAAGGGTTTTGATCATTTTTAATTCAAGTCACTGAATATCGAGCCGCAGCTATGAAAATTCAATGAAGAGTGGATTGGGGTGTTTGATAATTGAAGCGTCGTAGGACAATAAACATGATAAATCTAGATGCCCGGCGCTCAGCCTCAACCCCATTCCATATTGAGATACAATTCCCTTTTTGGGCTATAGTTTGATTACCCCTAGGGCTAACTAATATTATATTATAACTGTTCCCTAGAGTTGTGAGCACGTTCAGTGCCACACTATGCAGCTCCCCAGTCTCCATTTCCGTTCTAGTTATATAAACTACATATGGACCTAGGTATATATAGTTGACGCCATCAAGATAAGCCAACCCACGAGGATGGAGTGATATGCAGGTGTCAATGATGCATAAGGCAACTTTGAGCCTGCAACTCAACCGTTCCTGGAACACCAATACTAGTATAGTCTCTAATGTGGCGCCATGAGTATACCTGTTGAGACGGCCAACGTGATGTTGATCAGGCGAAATGTCCGTAACAAGGCAGCAGAGAAACACACTGGGCGAACTGCAGCTAGGAGATTTTGGGGTCCTCGACTGAAGCCCCCGGGGTCTTTGCCCCCTTATATTCTTATATTCAACACCATTACAACGATGGGCCTTGCCCCGACTCTTTCGCCTTTCCTCGCCCAGGTGCCGCATCAAATTTGGCCTTCCACGCCTCCTCCTGTCTAAACATGGCCACGCATTGCATAGCGTTTGGATTTCCATATTCTGGATCTGCGCCTCCCTCTAATAATGCCTACCAAAACCGTATAAGCCAAGGCCATTGTATCAGTTTAGGAACAGATGTAACAACTTGCCTCGATGACGGCATCTTCTTTCTTAAACACAGCTCCCGCTAGAGGGCTCTGTTTCTTATCATTGAGGCGGTTTGGGTCAGCACCGTGCTGGATAAGGAGCCTGACCAATTCTGCGTGGCCGTAATAGGCCGCAAGCATGAGCTGGTTACCAAAGTTCGTAGGTTAGAGGTGACTTTCCGGGCCAACTGTGGCTGTGGTTCTGTACAAACCAGCGTGTCGCCTTTTTCGTTGGTCAGGTTCGCTGGCAGACCAGCGGGGAGGGCTTGTTGGAAAATGGCCAGGTCTCCGGCCCTTGCTGCGTCATACATGCGCCCGGCCAATTCGATGGCTTCTGGAGGCAGAGAACTGGATGGACCGTCCATGCTGCCGAGTTTTCCAGATGTTAGATCTGTCGGTTTGGCGTTTGGTGTTGGGAGGAGAACTGTTGGCCGCGGCTGATTAAGGTATTTGAGACGATGTAAACTGACGGTTCAAGTGGGGCGAGCTGGAAAGGAGACGGCATAGACAGAAGGCGGCAGACTTGGCGGCATAGGTTCAAGAGCATCATCAAGTAGTGCCAATTTCCGCGGCTTGGAATTGTATTCCAGTTTCAAACCCCGTCTTACAATCTAGTAGTAATAACAAGTATTCTTCATCCAGTCATCAAATGTGCGTGTACATAAAAGAAACCGGGCACTTCCAATGTCGTTGATATCACCATCGTCATCTTTGAACGACGTTGCACTTTTTCATCGTTGCAGCTATGGTGTGAACTTGAACTTCAACATTGAGCTCTCATCTCGCGCATATCTGCTTCATCGTCTTGAGTCCTCGGATACGTTGATTGCATCTACCCGAAGCATTCTCTATGCGTTTTGGCGGACATGATTGTCTCCCCCCGGACGGGGATTGATGGTCAATAGTCAACTGGACCGTTGCCACCGGGGTTAGTTGGCACTGGTTCTGGATCTAGAGGAGCTGACGGCACAGGCTTGGGCGTCTCCGGTCGGTGCTCCATTGTCTTTTTCTTTCTCCCTCTTTCCTCTTTTCCTTGGCTTGATGATTAAAAAACAAGGGGTGTTCAGTGGTTGATTGCTGTTGAGTATCGTACGAGCCCGTAAAGCTCAGTCCGAATCAAATAAACATGCTGTGGCTGAGACTGAGTGGATGCAGCATCGGACGATGGGCAAAAGCGGCTTTGGGATTCTCATCGCCCGCGACGGGGAGCCTCGCAACCGACGTCAGGTGACATTGCAGTGATTGGAGGGGAAGCTGGCAAGCTGG